ATGGAGACCTATTCATCAATAGGTTGCCTTCGGACCAAGGAATGAACCTACAACCTGGGAATGTGCCCTGACTGGGAATCGAACCCGCCACCTTGTGGCGCACAGGACCAATGGTCCAACCAACTGAGCCACCTCCCAGGGCTGGCTGGGCTTTTCTTCAAAGAGGAGTAACTGCTTGAAATAACTCGGGTCCTGCTTGGAAAGCGAGTTCTGAGTTGAGATTTTTCACGTGCAGCCATGCATGTGCTGTGAAGTCTCCTTACTGTTGGTTAAATGACTTTGTAGGCTCAGTGTGTACTTGCAGTGTCTTTTTCAGGAAGGAATCGTCCACAAAGAGAAGTCAGAGCGGTCCTCTCATCTGCATACTGCCCAAACCACTAAAGGGACATGTGAGCTGACAACTATGAATGTGCGTTTGGGGATAATCAAATGACACATTTCACGTGAGGGCTGAGCTGGAGGCCCTGGGACATCTGGCTGTCATACCTTGGACACACGGGGCTCGTCAGATGTGAGGAGATGAAGGGGGGAGGGAAGGGGAAGCGGACAAAATGAGATGCATGGGGTGTGAGAGGACACAGATACCAGATGAGGGAAAAACACTTCAAAATACCGGATCTCACATGGGGAGATGCCCCAGTCAACTGCGTCACCCCTGGGGGTCACAACAATCCGATTCCCGCAGTGAGAGTTACATAGGAGGATACGAACTGTCGGCAACGAACAGCTCAGGAAAGTGGGAGAAAATGAACAAATTATATACGCATAAGGGGTCTCGGGCAACATACTTTCTTGCTAAGCATGAAGCTTGCCACCAAGCCCTTGCAGGCACCTGGGAGTGACTGAAGTACTGGCCATACTTTCCAGGGGATCAAAGACCAAGTGCCCGAGCGGGACGTTCTGACGTGACAGCTGGCTCTGAGCAGTGAGCTCTGGACAGCCCGTCCCAGTGCTCCCAGCTGTGGGCAGAAAAGACGGCTTGCAGGCGGGGCTTCCGGGGAGTGTGTGTGTGGGGGGGCTTCGGGGGTCTCCCACACTCAGTCAGGACCCTGGAGTGCTCTGACTTTCTGACTGAGGCCTGGAGGCTCCTCCAGCTCATCCTGCCACTGTTTGAGGGCACGGACACAACCCCCCACTAACTGGGGAGGGAAATGAGGGCCTGATGGCCCCACTCGTTTTGGGCAGGCGGTGGGAAATGGAAATGCACAGATGACTCCGTATCCATAGCTGAGAATGGCCTGGTAAGAAACCGTTGGCAACTGCATATTTCGTTAGCATACTGACTGAGATAAGTCAGTCAGACGTGCGCGCTCAGTGCTATTTTGAGGAGGATTTACGTGCCTCCTCACTCGGCAGCCCCAGATTGTAGCACTTTTTAAATACTTGGGACCATCTGGGGGGAAAAGTTGATTCACACATGACACCATTAACCAGGTTATATTCCAAATGATTTAAGAAGTTAATATTAAAATTTGAAACCATAAAAGTACCTGAAAGAAAAAGTAACCTCTAACTTTCTAATGATGACTCAGAAAAGAAATTTATGGAGACATCTGACTATAAAAGCAGCAGCATAAACACAGTCAAAGGGATTAGGAAAGAGCTTTTGCAACCTATTGCTGACGATGGATCTCTCTCTCGATTAGAAAAAGACCAACAACGCAAAAGGAGAATGAGCAAAAGACAGACAGTTTACAGCAGTGGCTCTCAACCTTGGCTGCACATCAGAATCACCTGGGAATCTTGTTAAAATCCTGATTTCTGGGCCCCATCCTCCAGAAATTCTGTTTCTTTGTTACTAATGAGGAGGCCCAGAAATCAGGATTTTAACGAGATTCCCAGGTGTTTCTAACGTGCAGCCAAGGTTGAGAACCACGGGTTTACAGCAAAAGGAAGACAAATGGCCCACACGTGAGAGCTGCTCCACCTCACTCATCACTAAGAGCAAACACACTGAAGCTACCCTGAGACACCACTGTTTTCACCACCGAGGTGAGCAAGAACACCAAAGCCTGACAGTGCACGGCGTTGGGGAGGGAAGCAGCCCGGAACAGGCAGGCTCCTGCGTCTCTGATAGAGGCCGCCTCGGTAACCCACCCCGGGGGGCAGTGTGGCGCCATCCATCCACAGTAAAACGGCCCTGGCCGGTGTGACTCAGTGGATAGAGCGTCGGCCTGCAGGCTGAAGGGTCCCAGGTTCGATTCCGGTCAAGGGCACATGCCCGGGTTGCGGGGGTCAATCCCCAGTAGGGGGTGTGCAGGAGGCAGAGAGAATCAATGATTCTCTCTCATAATTGATGTTTCTATCTCTCTCCCCGACTCCCTTCCTCTCTGAAATAAATTTTAAAAAATATTAAAAATGCTTACGTTAAGAAAAATAAAATACGTGTGTCTCGTGACACCGCCAATGTCTTGCATTTATCCTACAGTTGCACTTATCTATTTAAAAATGACACGTAAAGTTATTCACCAGGGTACTGTTTGCAATAACAAAAGACTGCCAACAACTACAATGACAGTCGCAGGGGGCGGGTTAAGTCAATCACCACACCTCTGTGCAGAGGGACAGCAGGCTTCAGTGGAAATGAATGCCAAACTGCCCGTGCCCCGGGAAGAACTCCACGTGGACGTGAAAGGAGGTCTGTGGCAGTGAGTGAGCGTTGTGCCATGTAGAGAAGGGGATACGGGTTCATGCAGGGCGGGCACAATAGACTTACAGTTGTTCGGTGGAAAGTAATGCAATAATTAATAAACAATAACACAAAAATATACTGTTTAGAGCACTCACAACTGTAAGCCAACTTCTGCCCCATCCCAATTGGGGCACACACACGGCTAGAAGAACAGACAGCTAACTAGTAGGAGCGGTCACCTGTCTGTGAGGAGGTGGGGGCAGGACGGTCGGTGACGGGGTAGAGATCTGGGGACATAGATATAATTTTAAACTTCTTCCTTTTTGAGCCATGTCTAGTACTAACTATTCAAAATTTAACAACTTTTTGAAAAATTAAATATGTGGGTCTGCTTTCTTCTGCCTCCTGGGGGATCATTGGCTACTACTTCTTGCAGCCCCGTCCTCCCGCGTGGGAGAGGATTAAGGCAAGTGAGGTTCGACAAAGGGGCCAGTGGGTACCGCCTTGGGGACAGGTGCATGCACTTGGCAACAACTATTTTATGTGTTTGCAGGTTTAAACGTTTAGGCGGCTTTTGAGGCTCTTCTGGTTCCCTGCACAGTGTGGAGGGAGACACAGGCCTGGAGAGGAAGGAGAGTGGACACAGGAGTGCTCCCTCCCGCACCAGCTCCACCCCCAGCTTCCGAGGGCTGGTGAGAGGATCGCCCTGTCTGAGGCTTTCTCCAGAGCAGTGGAGGATGGACTGGGTCAGGAGG